GACTATGTCTTGTCAAAAATCTCAAATTTGAATATTTCACATTTGCGTTTAAGAAATTTCAACTCTATCTCTCAAAAGTTGTGAAAGAGAGAGTCATTCAAAGCAATGGCAAAGTTTTTGCTATGCTCTACAGTAACCTTCCACTAAATAACGCATACGTTTAAGTACACAATATTTTATTAAAAAAATGAGAATCAAGATTTATTTAGTTCAAAATGCAAGTTTGAAAGATTTTTGTGTTTGAAAATCAATTTTTGGTTGATACTTACTCATCTCGCATTAGGAGATGTATATCGATAATAGTACAAAACAACTAGCTTGTATGAATCATTTTGTATATGTTTTAGATGATAATGGACAATAAACATTTAAAGTTCGTTTAAAGTTTTCAGTAACTTCAGCTCCTCTTTGATAAGTAACACCTTTAGCTTTGTAATTGATTTAGCCATTATTTGGAAAGCCTACAAAATCTCAGCCAAAACTGATAAATCATAATGCGGTACGTTTAACTTTGACAATTGTGAAATAGGAAATTGGCCCTAATCTTGTCAAAGCATTTTTCAAACTCAATTAAACAACCAACCAGATTAAAAAATATTTTCTTGTCTCACTCATATTTTTCAGCTGCTTCACTATCTTTGTACTTGCAAACTTGAGACCTTGTACTCCGAGCATCGGTGTTATTTAGTTTATATCACATCTAAAGGTCATTTGATAATTATTTTTTTTTTTTTTTTACTATTGATTCATTTAATTAACAATTTTCATAATAAATCTAAAATTTTGCTTGGGTAAATTTTGTATAATTGTTGTTATAAATTTAAAATGGGAATAAAATCTAAAAGTTATATATGAATGTTTCATAAGTTTACTAATTATTGTTGGTACGTTTATTCTTTGCCTCATTCGAAGAGATTAGAACTTGGATGACTATTTGCTGAAAGAAAATATACACAGAATGAAATTTAATTGAGTTTACAGTTCTGATTCGTCTAAGTAAGCACAATATTTCAAGGATGAAGATTAGTGGGAGATTACTATACCATACTTGTAAAATTAAAGCAAGCCACATAAACTTCAAATTGAATGGTATTAAATTTGAATTCAAATTTAGAAAAGTAATAGTGAAAATTTTGACAAAATTAACTTTGTGAAATTTTTTTTAAAAAAATTGTGTGATATTGAAGCATTACATGTGTGAAATCAATAAATCCATTGCTTGACTGTTAATGAAAGATCTTTGTATAACGACTTCATAATATGAACAAAAGATGTAGTTTGCATTACTTCTCCAAACAAGAAACATCTACTTAAAAAATGCTTACAAGTAAAATTGATAACAATACTCTACTTTGACTCTTACAAAGATTCAAAATTTATGTGTTAAAAAATTGCAAGTACCTGAAAATACTAAAAAATCTCCACATAAATTAGAACATGAAAAAATCAAATCATGAGTATAACATATATTCACATTTTCTATTTTTGATTTGAAAAAATTTTTAATTGACTATGTTAGTATATAATGATGTCTTCTTGAATGAAGATAATGATGTTTTATCTTTGAATTTTTTTATTAAATAACCTTTTTTGGATGATGACATTGAAGCTTTATTATATAAATTTGAGTATAATGCAACAAAATAAGGATTAGAAGTACATCAAAAAATTGACAAGTTTCTAAATTTATTATTTGAACAATTTATTTGATCTTATTTTATGTTAAAAATATTTCTATTGCTTTATTTTATGATAATTTATATCTATTTTATATCACATGATTATTTTTATTTTTATTTTGATAATTTTGATATTATTTTGGATTCATCAAATGTTTTCTTTGTATTTTTATATGTGGTGAATTTGTGAGGAAAAATTCAAGAATATATTATATGCAAGTTGCTAAAATAATTTTATGAATAAATATTATTCTATAGATTGTGTAAGAAGCAATTAGATCATTTCATGAGGTTGCAAACAAAGTGTGTTTAATTCTTGTGTATACAAAAAAAAAAAGATAGTGACATGGTTTTTTTTGCTTAATTTTCTTGTACAACATGAGGATGACATGCTTTTAGTAGCTAATGACAATTTTGATGTTGAAAAATTTAATAATTTAATGAATTTTGAGTGCTACAGAATGTATTTCACACAAAGAACTTCAAAAACTTAAAAGATGAAATTTCAAGACAAATATGCTAAAAGACATTTGCAAAGATCAAAAAAATAAAATAAAATTGCTTTGAGTATTTTTTTAGCTATTCATTTCAAACTTTCATCAGCTCCTTGTCCAATAGGTTATGTGAAATTTTTATATAATATTGAAAATAGTGTATGAAAAAAAATTGAAATTTTGATGTTTTTTGATCATTTCAGTAGATGTAATATTACTTTTGCTGTGGATAACACTACAATATACATGTCAACTCTAAGAAAATTACATAAAAACGTTGTGAAATGAATTTTGAAATAATTTAAGAGTACAAAGAATTTTAATCTATTTTTCATAGGAAATTATAGAATTCCAAAGTATTGATTTGCAATGTAGATCCAAATTATGAAAGATGAATGAAAAACTGTTCAATTGGATATGTGTTTACATTTTGAGAATACATAAGCTGAATATTTACATGGTAGAAGTGCAGAGCTCGATCTAGTAGGGAAGTTGACTATAAAGTGATAGTGGAAAAAACAAAGTTCATTATGGTTTGGACAAGCTTGTAATAGAAATGAAATATAACTGCATGACATTGAATCTTTCATGTGACTGTTAGAGTGGTTAAAATCAGCAGTGAATCAGGTGATGAACAGTAGAGTAAAGCATATTAACATGGAAAAATAATAACTGAGATTTTGTGATTAAATGATTTATCTAGTTAAGACTTACGGTGTATTTAATCTTGCTGATGTCTCCACAAAAGTGATTTATGTAAAGACATGGTGCCACATTGAAGGTTTGACATATGTGTATAAGTAGATTAAACTAGCAATAATCTGACTCTATTATTATTTTCCTCCGGTCTAGTTTCACTTAACTTTACTTTACATAACAATGGAACTTATGTGAAAATTGTTTATAAATTTGTTCATACAGTCATCATAAAATATATGTAAGTTATTATTCTTAGTACATGGGTCAAGGAGGAGATTGTTGGGAGTTGTCATAGGTTTTGAATTGTTATTAACTAAAATATTTAGCTAGTGCTATATTAAAGGGCATAAGCTCATTGTGAATATACAATGGAGCAATTTTTAGTATAAAAGTAACACAACGTTCTCCGGAGAAGCTCAACCACATTGACTCCTATGACTTCATGTATGCAACTTCTAAAGTATGAAGGCAAAAATCTTGCCCAGTTTTTCTTCACTGTGGATTATTAACAACTTGGACTTACTTCATTACTCCCAGCCAGTCATGCACAACAACCTTTTGATATGGACATGCACTTCCGTTGTTGTACATTTCAACATGTTGAGGGTGATGGGAATAGAATATTCGTAGTGGGGATATTTCCATTTGTTTTGAAAATCTCATTTCGTACATTGATCTATTACGTGAGAAAACTTGAGTTGGAGAGATGACTGCGTAACCACTCATCTCATCTGTTTTGATGGGGGTGCGTAAGCACACCCATCATCTGCAGGTCTCACAAGAACGTTCGCCTGCAACTTCTTGCTGGAGGAGATCATGGTATGATATGAGACCTGGAGCTGCATAAGTATATGTGCCAATATCAGCATCATATAAAGGGGGACGCCTTTAGCGGAAAAGTCTACTGTGCGTGATGAAGAGAATGTCTAGAAGATTAAAGACAAACTTAACGCTTCCACAGTGTTCGGTTTGACCAATCGACGTTTCGATGGCGAAGTCCTTACAAAACCTTGCAGAGGAATCTGAACCAAGTTAGTCCCATTAGGACTCATCTGCGAATTGCCAGCAGCAAGCATGAGACAAAAGTTCACGACAGCTATTCCATGTGATGTGTTCAAAGGATGCCAAACATAGAAAAGTCCTCACGTTCTCGGATATCTACGAAGTTTGTGTAGTTAGAATTATCGCTGTAAGCTCTCCCTAGAGTTTGTCTGCATTGTATCTAGTGAAGATTCCAGCGATACAGTTGTTTACTCTTTTCATGCACATGTTGCATGGATTGGTTGGGAAGAAGACATGTTAACGAGGAGTAATATTAATTCCTGTGGTCTCATTTATCTTACAGGCTATCATATTGCATCACCTAGTGACAGGACCATTCAAAGAACCTACCGTGCTGCCTTGAAGTTCATCCGTTTCATTTGCGCTTTTTATTTCATCACTTTCTACTTTTCAAATCGCAGATTACGTCTTATGATGGTGTATACGCGTTTAAAAGCTCATGCTGATGGTCTGCATATTGGTCAACCTTCTCGTCTCCTTGTATTCTTTGGAGAGCCCATCCTATAATTTTTTTTGGTTTTTGGTTATATATATTGGTTACGAGAAAACCTTATCAAGACTGATAGAGAATCGGAATCAAACGTGTGAACAAATAGTGCAATTGGAGAGGAATCTTGTTGTCAGTCTCCTTGATACCGGGTCCCTATCAAATTTGTTAACAATATTTGTTGTATATTAACCGTTTGATATCATCCCCGTACGGCTCTTCAGGCTATATTACTCGGTGTCCCTTTAGCTTTGTTGTGTTGGAACGATTTCCACAACGCAGTGAGGTTAAAAAGTGATATTCTGAACTCATGAGGTACGTCAAAGGATGCCGTCTCTCGGAGAGGCTTCAAAGCTCTATAGAGTCAGGAGCGTCATTATTAGGCACTACCTTTTGCATCGCTTCGTCCTCTGCTCCTGTGCCTTCTCCTGCCCGAGATCCATCCGTCCGTTCTTGTACTGGCATGCGTGTAGTGGATGTGCAGTATCGTACTTGGTATGAGGGGAGTATCGGTTCATAACTCCTCCCAAAAACCACAGCCCCTTGTGCGACCAGTAGACGGCCAAGTTGGAGACGATCGAGATCTGGAAGGGAATGGAGCCCAGTGACATGTACTGTGCTTGTTGCTGGCAGATCTGAAGGCAACTAGCGCAATGATATTTGGACTACGTGGGAAGCACAAGAACGTGATGTAACTGAGGAAAGCATAGGCCAACTGTTTTCGTCCGTCCGGTAGTTGGCTCACGACTCGAAGCTCACCTTCATTCTCCTCCGGAGTCCAAGCCAAAAATAACATTCCGAAGAGAAGACGTACTTTGACTCTCGGAGGGGCCCAACGAGTCGCCGGTTGGATCGTTCTCTCAGCATCATGAGCAGCAGCAGCAGCAGCAGCAGACGCAGGAAATCAGTTTTCTGCGTCTGCGAATGCCAAAGCCGAGGAGGAAATTATTGTGGCTACAGAACGGGAGAGCTATTGTGGATTGATTCTTCGGGCTTGGGACGCCGGGAGAGATCGGAGAGGACGATAGAAAACCTGGACAACACGGTGGAGGCCATTATCGCGGATCGGTGCCGTCCCGAGGAGGAAGACGAGGAGAATATAGGGCTACGGAAAGGAGAGCGTAGAGGTGTGGGTGGTACAGGAATGTCCCTTTTCAGGAGTTAGTGGTGATGAACGCGGAATGTTGCCATCATCAATGCCATCCATCTACGGTTCGGCTGTCACGGACGCAGGCAGGCTCCGCCAACGAACGCCGTGCGAGAGACGAGCAGCTCTGCCCGGTCGGTGGTCGACGCAGTCCCGCCTCTGTCTGCGCTCTGCCCATTACTGTGCAGTACACGCAGACATCGCATCCATCGGTCCACCAATCAATCAGTGCGTGCGCAACTCGGACTCCGCACTTCCATCCACTGGCTCCAGCCGGTCGACGTCGGGTGCAGTGCGGCACCGAGGGCCAGAGCAAGAGAAAGAGAAAACGAAAACGAAAACTAAAGCCACAGAGTCACGCACCAAGAGTCAGATTCGCAGATCATTTATTGACCCGGCCTCGGTCTCGGTCTGCTCCGCGACCCGTGACGCGTGGCCAATTTACGAATGGGTTGGAGCTCCACCCGCGGGGCCAGGGGCAGAGTCCCGTTTCGGGATTCGGGGCCCGGCGTCTAGACTCTCTGGAGCCGGGAGTCCACAGGCTTCCGTTGCTTCGGCAACTGCATCCATGCGTCAAAGCAAGTCAAAGACCCAATTGCCAAGGCGGACGGACAGACGGAGGCCCTGCCTGCCTGCCTGCCTGCCTGACTGACTGGATGACTGACTGACTGACCGACCGACCGACCGACCGACTGACTGAGTTGCTGGACTGTTGTGCCTGAACCCGTACCTGGGCGCGGGTGGCGGGGCGGGGCTCGGGTGGAGGAGGTGGTGGGTGCGGGGCTGGGGAGGAAGTTAAAGCAAGGTGGGGGCGAGAATTTGGAGTTGGCGCGGATGGGCGTGCACGCACTGTTTCGCCGTATGAGCTTCGCAAGGCAGCGATTAGCGGAGCGCGCGCGCGAGAGAGAGAGAGAGAGAGAGAGAGAGAGACGGAGAGAGAGAAAGAGAGAGAGATAGAGAGAAAGAGGTCACACGATTTGGCGGTTCCTGGTTGGTTGGCGGTCCTGACATCCAGCGCAGCGCAGCGTTTGTGTGCGCGAGTTTCTGCTCGCTCGCGGCCCGACTCCGACGGACGACGACGACGACGACGATATCGCAAGAGCGAGCGAGTGAGAATATGTTTGGTTTGTTTGTTTGTCGCTGTCTGTGCGCGCAGGAGGAGGTCGCCTTGGCCTCTCTGCTACCGCTATCTCTGCGCTCTCTCTCTCTCTCTCTCTCTCTGCCAGACTCGTAGTCCGGCCAAGCTCCGAGATAGAGGAGCTTTTGTCCGCGAGATAGGGAAGAGAGCACGCGGAGCGTGTGTCACTGGCCTGATCCCTCAATTTCCAGTCGCTTGTGCGCAGGAGGAGAGACAGGGCAGGCAGGCAGGCAGGCGGGCGAGGGGAGAGAGAGAGAGAGAGAGAGAGAGAGAGAGCGCGAGCGCGAGAGAGAGAAGAGGGAGAGTCTGGGGATGGGGATGGGGGGAGGGCAGGGTGTGGGGAGGAAATTGCAGGGATTGTTGTTGTTGGCTAAAGTCCAGCAGTGCTAGTTTCTATAAGCATGAGTCCTCGGCAGCATCTTGCCACTCGTCGTCGTTGTTGTTGTCAGCGCGTTTGTTGACGCTTCGGGGCTGGCGGATCTCTTCTGCTCTCTTTCTGCCTCTCGGTCTCAGCACCCTCTATCTGTTTTTCCGCTGGTTTCTGTCTTTGTGACGTGATCGTTTTCTTGGCAGTTCCGAGGGACTCGCACGCGCTCTGGCTCTAAGTACTCCCCCCCCCCCCCCCCCCCCCCCCCCCCCCCAGTCGTTGGAGATGGAATCCACATGATTTTAGAAGTGATCGACTTACACTTGTATCAGAGTTCGAGTTAGATAGGTGAGGCATTGGGTGCGACCAAGTCATTCTCACGTGGATCACAGACGGTGCCAACGGCAACATGATGAGAAGATCATCGTCAAGAAGGACATCTTCTGGGGTGCTGCCTGCCACTGCCACCGCATCTGCAGGTGTGGTGTGTTGTGTTGCGTTGTCTTGTCTCGTGTCGGCAATCTCTCTCCTTACTCCTCTCGATCATCTCCCTGGAATGTGTCCTTACCATTTGTCGGTTGTTTCGGTTATTTCAAAATCTCCTGAAATGGGCGAATTTCGATGTGAGTGTCGAGATCAGCTCACTGCCAAAAGCTTCGAAATGCTTCCTTCACTTTGAGTTTCTTGTTACGCCTAGAAAGAGTGAAGATGATTTGACGGCATTCATCAACTGCTTCTCGCCTAGAGGAATTGGAGTAGCTCAATCCTGCTCGTAGATATAGATCTTGTGGTCCGGTGAACTGTAAGTCAAATTGCGACGGAGCGCTACGACGTGCTATGAGCGCACTGCATAGCTTCTTTGGAGAGTTTAATTCAGGGCGATGAGTACGTTACGTTAGCTCAAATGCTTTCCATAGAAAATCCGGACTCTGCCCGTCCGCAATCGCTTCGCACATGACATGCATACTTGCCGTTGACATCCAATTGTGCTGCATGTCCAGGGAACAAGGCTGCCGCTAAGGAGCAGGAAAAGATTGATGCCCTGTTTGCTCAGTATGTGGACAGAAACGAAGAATCCTGTATAGGGTGAGTGTCTCTGAGTTCTTCCTTTACCTGATCAAGGGGTGGCTCTGTTCTATCGTCTTCTCCAACATTAGGCCTTGGTGTAGTCACTCGTCGTTATTGGAAGTGGATTTAGGGGCTCCTACGCAGGCAGTTCCCGTGGCTGTGCAACGGCTATCATTCCACGGACCCCTTGTTAGATTTACAACTGTACCCGGAGGAAGACTGCGCGCCTGGGTAGCTTGAGGTCATGTGACAAGGAGTCTTTTTCCTCCTTGTTGAAGGCCCTGTACGTCTCTAAATAGCAATATTAGAGTTGACCTAATTCAGAACCCAGGGTAGGAATACAGAGTCTAGAATATGATCTTTCTCCTGTTCTTCCCGTGATCCGTTACCGTTATCACATGCATCTTCTGTAAGAAGTGAAGGTGCACTAGACAGTGGTATCCCTTGTGAAAATTGATGTTTTATCACATGAGGTTATGCCCATTCGCTTTACGTTGTTGGTCTAAATTGTTCTGCGATCAGGCCTGAAGGAATAGAAGCTTTGTGCCAAGATCTTGGACTCTCGCCAACAGATATTCAAGTGTTGCTTCTAGCATGGTGAGAACTCAAAGACACTGCACCAATACGTGAATTGCACTCATTATGATTGGGTGATGCGTGATATGATTGCATCGGTCAGTACCACTCTTAAACATGTGCAAAATAAAGTTTGCTTACTGGAAGAGGTGGATCTTTTATATATTCTCTTTCGAAGACGTTCTCTGTGGTGTCCCTGTGTCACTAACTTTGAGTTATATCTGTTTTCCCTCGCCTTTATCTGTAGGAAGTTACAAGCCTCCAGACAGGGTTATTTCTCCCTGGTAAGTCGTTCTTTAGCCATCTGTGTTGAATTTTTGCATTGTGAGCATTGGTGTTGGAGTGACATCAGTACTGTCGAACCACATAATTTGAAAAACTTATTACCAGTGGCGAAGTACTTTTGTCTTTGGTTGCGAAGTTATTGCTTTAGGAAGATAAAGATTGATCGGAGACCCTTCAGTTCTTATACCTGCGGGGCACTTGTTTCAAAGTATCTTCAGCTATCTAACGAGATGCACATTATACTACTAGAAGAGGTTCTTGTAGGAAACGTATAACTCTGTTCTTGTCATGCTATTGAAATTTGCTGTCCAAACAGGCAGAAAAATAAGTTTTATTTTAAAACGACCTCGTGAAATGAACTAAAAGTGATCACATTGCGGAGCTAGACAATCTCATTATGATCAAGGTGCATCGAAATATGGTCAATCAGTTTTCTCTATGAAATCATAAAACTTTGGTTCTTTGGGGCTGCTTAAGTAGGAATCTGATGAGTACGAAGACTAGCATTTTAGCCTCAAAAGTTTGTCAAGGTAGCGTGCATCTCTGAGGATGAGGGGTCCGCTAGCCATATAACTCAAGCTTTCAGTCACGCAGTGATATCAGGAACTGTGGAATTTGATTGTATGATATGAGCTTCTCAAGGGAGAATGCACCTCTAAAGTTCTCTAACCAGCTAGTAATCTCTAACTCAAGCCTCCACAGTCACACTATGACTTTGGAATATCACACTATCACGAACTGGGGAATATGGCACTCGAGACAATGCGGTGCGATATTACCGGGTAAGGTCAGTTATTTGGTGCATTGACATACTTAATCCATGTCGATGGGTGATTAGAATTGTTGCCTTTTCCTTGGCTTATATTTGCTGCGGTCTTAATAATATGAGAAGGTTGTATAGAGGACACCTTTTCAAGTTCCCCACCCGCAATCGTGGAGGAAAAGTTAATAGGGAAGCAAGGACAACCGCACTATACAGGCCGAGAAAAGGCGGTTGTTGCCTCTGAGCGATGTGTGAGCATACCCTCAAAACACTTGCCTTTAGAGTAGAAAAGAGTTATCTGACAGAAATCTTCGCTTCCGCAATCCAGCTGAGCTTCTTGATCAGTGGTTGGTCAACACAGAGATGTATTCACAGCATAAATTATCTGCACGATTGTCTGTATCTTCAGTTGGAGGCCGCAAATGATCCCTATCTAAGAGTCAATTATAACCAGAGTTCACCTTCACGAATTCCTAAACACTAAATTCTGTGTACCACTAAAGTCCAGTCACATGCGATATGAACTTATATAGTAGCTATGTAGAGAGAATTATAGTCACTGCTTGTCGCTGTATACTGTATGTTTTCCCATCTTATTAGACGTTAACATTTGCTTCCTGCTCAGTCGGTTTGTGGGGACCTGTATCAGAGTGTAAATGGTTAGCCAGGGGCAGATTTTACACGGTTCCTTTTATTGGACATTTTGTCATTTACCATCTGACCTATTTTCATCAAACAGCATCCTGCTGCATTCCGAACTCTATTGTGACAGTACCAGGCTCACCAGGCTACCGTCACTTATCATCCATTACTTTCGAAAATAACAGTTGACATTGCTCCTTAAGAATCTGGATTCTCTGGAGATAATTCACTGTGTTTGTAGCTGTCTAGGACAATTGAGCATCTCCCTATCTCTCTTTCTTCGATGGCCCAGTTCACGTGAACTGTTGTTTCTGGTCTACGTGTTGGCTTCACGATTTTTCAGTCCAGGTTGCAAGCGTCACGTATTAGCATGTCAGCATTTGATCTCGGCGATCCTCAATTTTGGTTTGTTAATTGATGTGCAGGACGAATGGAGGAGAGGGCTGAAAGCTATGCGAGTTGATAGTCTGGAGAAACTTAAGAAAGCTCTTCCAATACTTCAGCAAGAGGTATTCCAAGCAATCTGTTAGTGCAGCATTTAGTCAAACCCGGAATAACTGCCATAATACTTATAGTTCATTAAGGACCAACAGATTTCCAGGTGCAAGTACTGGACATCACTGTCATTCAAGCTCAGTTTCTCTTTGGAGGAAAATTCGGTGATAGTTGCACCCGTGTAACGTTTGAGCATAGCCTTCTCTTCGAAACTGTCACTAAGGATGGATTATCTAAGCCTCTGGCAGTATCGTATCGAATGCCTAGATTTCAGGTTGAACGTCTTTGCTGTTCTACAAGCTCATGAATTTCAATCGCCGTTTTGAAAATAGACTAGTATATTTATAGCATATCACGGTCCTTTTGTCATCTCCATCAAAGCAATCTGGATTCTGGATTGTATCAACCTTAGAGCTTGTAGATATACATAGGGCAGCATTGCAAAGTAATTGTATAACCGAGTCGTCCTTGTCATGTTTTGTTGTTGCAGGTAGCTAATTTGTATACCTTCAAGGAATTCTACACATTCTCTTTTCAGTATTGCTTGACAGGTCTTTATGACTTACCCTTTCCCTCAATGAATGTAGGAATGTCTCGTTTATATACTGCACAAGGTAATAGAGAGGACTTTCCAGTATGCGATCCTCGGAGTAAACAGGGCCAAAGATGGTCCTGTTTACTCCGTGGGTATCGTCGTCCCTTCACAGGCTGTGGATATCTAGTGTTTGTCTTAAGAACAAGCAGATGTGCTGAAACCAAGATTATGATAACTTCTTGAACATTTCCTTCGCTTCTTAGGCATCGATTCACTCAGTAGAATCTTTAAGGTAGTCTTATCGGTTTCTACTCTTATTGCAACTCTCAGAACCTCGACAGAAGACTCTTGACCTGGAGACGGCATGCCAAATGCTAGAGTTGGTACTGGGACCTCGACCACATTTGTCGAACTTCGTACAGTTCTTGCAGGTATCTCAGCTGGCTTGTGAGTAGCGTCTTGCTTTTTAAACTGAGCAATGGCAATACCTTGGAAGTCCTTAGTTTTCTCAGTTGTGGTTTGATGCTTCAAGGCAGTCTCAGTCCTTCGTCTTTGAAATATCTGTTGGCTTTTGCAGGAGCAAACTGAGTACAAGGCTATGAATCTTGACCAATGGAACGCCTTTCTTCGATTCTGTGATGAGGTAATTAAGAAATTTTGACTGCATGTCTTTCAGTATATACAGTTTGGCGTGGATAACTTCTCTGTTGATGCTCATGATAATTTGTTCTTTGGCTGTTTGCGTGCAGATCAAACCCGACCTTAGCAACTACGATGAAAATCAAGCCTGGCCATTGCTTCTTGACAACTTCGTGGAATGGGCCCGTAAGGGCAGGAATTGCTGAGGAGTGCCATCAGGGCTTCAAATGGTGTTTTCTTATGGCCGTTTCATGCATTGAGCAAGAAAGACTGGTTACGGACCTAGCTTTATGACCGTGTACAGGTGGTTTTCTGAAGCAGTATGCTCAGCGTTGGGACTTATTTTAGTGGTTGCAACAGGCAGCACTGCTGATCTTGGATTGGGTGAAGGAGACACCATTAGCGCACTGGATAGATCAAAATGATACCGAAAATTGGTGAAATTCTGGAGAGTTTTTAAACGTCTTTGCGGCTCTTAGAGTTATAAGTTGCTCCATTAGAGGCCTTTGGAATTCCCGGAGAATTATACCTGCATATGCGCTTCATGTCCAACCATCGAGTTTGCAGTTTAGTGGCCTCTTGCCAATAGAAGCAGCCAAGAGGTGTTCGACCTTCTGAATCTCCTCTGACGTGAGGAGTACAACAGGAGAAGTCAGGTGGGAGTGTTGCAGCAGCGGCGTGATGCTTACAATAAAGAACGGTGATCATGACAAATAGAACAAATTCGTTGCATCTCCTGTGCGAATTTTCATGGCAAGAAAGGGCCCAGTCAGTAAAAAAGAGCAGCTATATGCATGTTGCATCTGCTACGCGCACGCTGCCTATCCAATTCGTAGGTTCCTTGGGAGTCTACGAATGATTTCCACTCGCGGAGGCAAGTTTATCTTTCATGATTTAATGGAATTTGGGAAGATTTTCTTCCAATGTTAACTCACTTGCACATTGCTTTTCGCATAAGTTGGAAGAATGTCCTCTGCGAAGCAAGCAAACCAATGGTTCATGTTTCTTCTCCTCAACAGGATTTTCTGCGTCATTTTGAAAGCAGAGTAATAGCAAGTATCATAGTATACTTGCTGATGAAAGATGAGCTGTATAATCAGTCCTTGCCAGTTATCCTGCAGTTTTCCTAGAAACTGACTCACTTAGGCTTTCATCCATACCGCACTACCAAATTAAATTGTCTTTGTCGTAACAGCTGTGCGTAACGCCGTAACAACAGACTCAACTGAGCGCTACTATCATTGTCAATGAGTGTAAGTGAGTGTATCAATTGGGTTTCAATCACGATTATTTCCTTTCCGAACTCTAACCGGCCATAATAAGTAGCACTGGACTGATGGTAATTATGACCAAATGCGACGTCGTATGACATGGGAATATCGGCATTTTGTCGTTTTACAAGAATAAGTCTCCTGACTGAAGAATATGTTCCTACTATGAGGTGTTCTTTACGTGCCAAGCAGAGGCATTTTGCTTCAAATTTCTACCCAGACCATAACCATGCCATTCAAATCGCGCCCGTGTATGTTTTGCTTGTAATATTCCAACTCCCATCGTGTCTTGTACCTCAGATGTGGAGAGGTTTGAATTGCGCCGTATGTATGTTTCGCTTGTGGAAACGAGGTGACTGAGGTTGGTTTCGTATATTATTTTATTGGCATTCGTTATTTATCTCTGTTGAATATTCAACGAGATATCAGTAATGTCTCTGTGTGTGTTCTTGCATTCCGTGAGTGAACGCCAATGATATGTTTCACGTTAATACAATGGTACAAGTCTCAAAACAGTATTGATGGGCATCGCTTCATACCCATTTGGAAGCTATGTTCACCATGAACATTAATGCCAGCCAAAACCCATGGGAATTGATACATGTTAACATTTCTAAAGCTTAGTAACAACTTCTCATTGTTAGATAGATCATCAAATAAAAAATTGATAGAAGTTCATGAACTTTAATCTGGAAAATTTTGGATCCAAGATCACATTTGATGAATTTGTGATAAATCTGGAAAATCTTGGCGAGTAGATATCAGATAAGAAAAAAGCTCTTCATATCCTTTGTTCGTTACCAACATCGTACCAGTGATTAGTCTTATTACTTAGTGAATAATAATAGATAGATTAGATATAGTCTTTATTATAATAGTCTTTACTTAAATACTTAGTGATAATTAGTCTTGTTTCATCGTGATTGGCAAACCATCAATTACAACGAGATTGTAAGTGATTATGTTGACGGATAACATGTAACAAAAGATGATATCATCATCTATCCATTCAATCTCTATAGGTATGTCACTGAATGTGACTCAAAATTGATCATATTCTAGGAATCACAAGAATGGAAGGCTTTTTAATCCCCAATGATGAATCCAAGTCTAGACATGAATCTTGGCGATGTGGCAAGAGTGACCACATCAAGAAGGATTGCCACGTGAAGATCAATGGTGATGACTCTTCATTGAAAAATGTGATTACATATTTCAACCTAGAGGAGATAATTTGCTAGATGATGGCATATGATGACAAAGATAAACTCGATGTGATTCATCAAAGTTTGTTGATGATGTATGGATTCTTGATAGTGTTGGTTCTTCTCACATATATTATACTGTATTAGAAAGTTCTTTATAATTTCAATATCAAACGGATGAATGTTTAAAAGAAATGATCAGTAATTTAAAATTAAGGGTTTTTTGGTATTTTCTCAATATCAAACAAATTATTCTTATGGTAAACGTCAATACTTTAAGATTGAGATGATGGATCTATGAAGATACACATGTTTGATGAAGTCAAATTTACATTGATCCAAGTTAGATTTATGTTTGATATGAGAAAAAAATTGATTGTTCTTGGAATGTTACACCCAAATAGATTTCTTAGAATAAGGTGCTTGATGTTATAGTACGTGATAAGATTATACTTAGAAAACCTAAGCAAAATAATTTATACTGGTTAGAGGTCACTACCATATGTGAGGGAGTCAAATTTACTAATCTTGAGTTAAGATGTCTCATGTGTGACATTCAAGCCAGTATACAGAGATGGAAGATACATGTTTCTCCTAGAAGAGCGAATTGTTATCTCTCATAGTTAAAGTTGACATGAAATTTTGTGAACATTGTATCATGAACAAGAAACACATGGAAGCATTTGATGTTGGAACTTATGGTTTCAACAAGTTATTTGAGTATGTAAATAATGACGTGTGGATATCATTTTCTAATGTCTCACTCTATGTGAAGTTTTACTATGTATCATTTATCAATAATTACTCAAGGTATGTGTGGATTTGATTATTGACACGCAACAATGAAATGTTTGCAACTTTCAAGAGTTGGAGTATCCAAGTTGAGATTAAGATTGGACACAAGGTGAGATATTTGCGTACAAATAATGACATGGATGTATTTTGGAGAAGTTTTGAAATTATTGTAAAAAAGAGTAAAGTATTCGTAATCTCATCATCATTTATATTCCGCAACAAGAAGATGTCTCCAAAAGGTTCAATCAAATAGTGCTAGACAAGGTGCTAAATATGTTGAGCCAATCTGATTTACCATATGAATTTTGGGATGAAATTGTCATTACCGCCATACATTTGATACATCTTCCTATTTCTAGTGCAATCAATTTATTGACACAATTTGAATTGAACACAAACGGATGATTAATTATAGTCATTTGAAAATTTCTGATTGTACAATTTATTCTCTCATATCCAAGGAAAATAGGACTAAGCTAGATTCTATTGTCCAAGAAGTGACGTTTTCTTTGATATGCTAGTGATGTGAAGTATTATAGGTTATAGAATCAAGTAGCATGTAAGTTTATTGTCAGTAGTAATGTTACTTTCAATAAGTTTTGATAATTGAAAAAATGGTAAAGTTTGTACTGACAAGGATAAATGTTCACTCAGAATGTTGTTGAGGGAGAATTTGATCATTATGTGATTAATGATATGACACAAGAATAAACTCCGATATAGATGGAACAAATTTTTGAGGAATAAAAATTAGAGTAGCAGGTTATTGTTGATGAGACTCAAGTATCTACATCAATCCATAGATATCAATCAGAATTTTCTACTGTGAGAGCATCAAATCGGATTAATAGAGCTCTTGTCAAGTATGGTTTATGAGCTAATGCATTCATTGTTGAAGATCATGACATTGATACAAAGGATGATGATGACATTGCTTGATCTTGGAAAAAATGGAACTTTCTTTTTACAGAGAAGCTCAAGCTTTTGTCAATAATCTTGAATGAAATGTTGTTATGGAACTTGAAATTAATAATCATTGCTAACTGAAAACAAGATCTAGGAACTAGTTGAGCTTTCTAATGATCAAACTTTGATTGATTGCAAGTGTATATACAAACTAAAGTACAATCTAGGAGTTGACGAGAAGAATATCTTCAAAGCTAGGTTGGTGATTAGAGGTTTCATATAGAATAAATATGTGAACTGTAACAAAGTTTTTGCACTTGTAGCAAAATATGCTACAATTTGTCGGATATGTGCACTAGTTGTGATACTTAGTCTTGTTATGGATTAAATTAATGCAATTGCATTTTTTTTAATGAATATCTAGAGAAAAAAATCTATATGAGACAATCCGTTGGCTTTGAGTTGAAAGTCCAAGAGAACATTTATTTTAGACTGCTGAAATCATTATATGAATTGAAACAAGCTACTAGGCGGTGAAATACAAGACTTGACGAGTTCATTTACAAGATTTTTCACGGTCTGTATGATACTTGTGTATACATGAAGAAATTGAATAATGAAATTTTTGATCTTATTATTCTACGTTTCTACATGAATGGCATGCTCTTCTTAACGAAGAATCAATCCTATGTTGATAGATGTAAAAATCAATTGAAGTTCGCATTCAAGATGAAGAATTTGAATGAATCTAAGAACGTTCAAAGTAATTTGGAGAAAAAGATGCTATAGATTGAATCATGGAAAGAACATTTGATGAATATTTGAGATGTTTAACATGACAGCTTCTAAACTAGTATGGATTTCATTGTCACATTTTAAACTTACTCAATTCAATGCCCAACTGATGTCTCTGAGAAAGTAAAAATGTCATGTGTTGCTTGTGACCAAGCTGTGAATAGTCTCATGTATTTGATGGCGTGCAAAAGGCTTGATAATGCTCTAGCAATGAACAAGATGAGGAGTTACATGTTGAGTCTAGGGAATGTTCACTGGGAAGCAATGAAATGAATTGTCAGATTTTTGAAGAGTACTAAGGAGTATGATTTATTGTTGGATGATTTATTGGTTAATATCAAAAAGATCTGAAAAATTTGAAAAAGATCTGAACTAGATTATATCTACAACTCGATATGTGTTTACACTTGATGATAAAAGCATTAGTTGAAAATTTATCTTTCAAAAGTGCGTAACTTAATCTACAATTGAAGATGAATATGTAACGACAAAGTAAGCTATTTGATTAGATAGGTTTATCATTAAATGAGTTTGAAATATGATGTTATCAATCTTCATTGTTATAGTTAGAGTGCTTTACATCTTGCTGCAAATCAAATGACTAACAACAAAGAAAATTTTTTTTGACATGAGGAATGACATTATCATACATTGAGTTTTTGATAAAAAGATTGAATTAATCAAGGTAGACGATAAACTCAATTCAGCTGATGCGTTGATCAAAATAATTTCCGTTGGAAAGTTTTAATCAACTTTGTGCTACTATGCAGGTTTTACATGACTAGTATAAGTAAGGATTCTTAGTATTTTAGTTATCTTTTTATATTATTACTCTATCTTGTTTTAATAATAGCTTAGTTCTAGTTTAAAGAGTAAACTTTTGTTAGATTTCTCTATAAATTTCTGTTGAGTAATTACATAGATTATGGAGCTTTCCGTTTCCTCAATATGAATTAAAAGTAAGATTGTTAGAATTAACTTGGATTTTGGTCTACTCTAGTTAACACGTACTATTAGTTGCCAATATATATACTAATTGGCATTTGTTATTTGCCTCAAAAAACCTCATTATCATTTGACTGGAGGTAGTTCTAGACTTGGGGAGAACTACATACATTGTATTCTATATCATTTTTTGGTGAATCTTGCTATTTACCATTGTCAATTTTTGGTTTTACTTCTTGAAAAATCCATTTAAAAGTTTCGGCAATCTACAAATCAACTTTTTTCCATATT